TACGTTTGAGGTTAGGATTAGAGTACCGGTTAATGGTTTTCGATTTTCGGGTTAGGGTTATGCCTTTGGGCTTAGGTTTTCAAATTACAGTTAGGGTTTGGGCGTGCGATTAGGCTTCAGTATTACGGTTAGGTTTTTCAGTTACTGCTATGACTAAGGGCTACGGTTGCGTTTACAATTTCGCTTAGGCTTAGGGTTAAGGTTGCCGTTAGGGTTAACCGTTTAAGGTTGAGGTCAGGGTCAGGGTTAAGGTTAGGATTACGACTAAGGTCGCTGCCCGCTTCCCTATTCCTGGCTACCAACTGCGATCAAGCCAAATATTCATTATTTTATTTATAGGATAGAAAATTACGTGCTCTTTCAATTTTATGCTCGTAGGAGGAGCATAATTCGGTTCCAAAAGGTTTCTATTTGTGAGATTTTTTAATACCGTGAAATGCCCGTTCATAAAACGCCATGTGTCTGCATTTACCAATGTGGCTTGTAAAGTTGGCAAATCCACTGCGTAATTTTATGAACCCCATATGGTCTCCTCTTAATACCGTAGAGAAGTGTATTGTTTTCCGTACACAGAAAATATACGGCTTGTGGTTTTGAAACCCTGGATGCAAGTATAAAAGCAGGTCGGGTTTCGAATTATTCGGAAATTAGAAAAGTTTTTTAAAACCGAATTATACTCTTCCTTCGAGTGTAAAATTGGAAGACGGCGTGATTTCCTACCGAATAAATAAAACAATGAATATTTTTATGCATGTTTTCCATGAAATATAACTTAACTTTTAAGGGCATCGAAAATCAATTAGAAATTTGCATGCTACTTAAGTAGTCGTTTTTTGCATAGCATAGGTCTTGCATGCAGTCGGAAATAAGTTCGTTCGAAAGAACGCAACAGGCTCATTATATAATTATGCATGAGAATTAGTTTTACAACCCTACTCAGTCTTTTCGAAACGAGAACGCATTTCGAAATTTCGGTCGACGTTTCATGAGTTAGCCCACCTACTGTATGATGACGACCTCCTGAATATGGTGTCGCGCTTCGATGAGGTCAATAGATCCGTCCGTTTGTTTTTAGGCACTGGAAAGACCAAAGTTTTTTTCCCAGCTGCATTTCTGACCGAGGGAAGCCATCCCTCGGGACTAGCGACTGCCTACCTGGAGAATTGAACTTCTTCCAATTTTTCGGGCGAAATCACTGCAAAGCGGACGGAAAAGAAGCCCAAGGGCCAGAGTCGGTGCTGCAGACAGGGATTTAACAATCCCACGGTGTTAGAAACTTGCCATCACATCCAGATCAATCCGGAGGTCAGCGTCTACCGCGCATCCGTCCGGGCAGTACGGTTGTAAATGTTTGGCCTGTGCGCTTGGAGAACGAGCAAATGCTAGCGATGCTGATCCACTAATGTCTGAGAATGATCCTACGAATGACGTGCACGATGTTCTTCTTGGATGAAACTGTCTGCAGCAACATCGCGCGGATTTCAGTCCTCCAGAAAAATCTGGTGATTCGGTTTGGGCTCGTTGCTCATCGCTCTCCTCTCCGACGTGTTTGCCGTCTAACTGAAAACCACTGGGAGGTCGGTTCTCAACCAAGCTCGACATAATTTTTCAAAAAAATAGTGGTGGTTTTTGGGCCTTTGCAATTCGTAGCTATAGACAAGTCGACGCCAGCAGAGCGATATAAATTGCAACATCTAGGTTGATATGATCGGGCAGATTGGAATACGCGGTCCTTTTTTTCTAGAAAGGTGTAAAATGACCATTTTGCCAGTTTGTGACATCCGCTTACAATTTACTTCCGTGGAATTCAAGAATGCACGAGGAAAAATTTAACTCGATGCCCTGCCAATTTAAACTTTTGTATTTTGTGTTCCAGAACTGCGAGAATTTACGTGTGAGCTGTGCGACAAGGCCTTTGCCCTGAAACAGGAACTGAAGAAACATGTCGACGGCGTCCATAAAAGTATGCTTCTTTTTGTTTACTTTCTCGCTTGCCCACACTTTTTTTCATCAAGTTCACTTTTATTTTTTTGTCTTCTACTCCTTCCCACACAAGAAGGTTTCTTATGTCTGTTATTTTCCGGACTCCCATCTACGTACAGTGCACGTACTCTCACGAAACATTGACCGAAATGCCGAAATGTGTCTTCGTTACGAAGGGACTACTTAAGTAGGGTTGTAATAGTAATTATTTGGCAGAATAACCATGAGATATTTCAGTCACGCCAGGGTGCCAGCATTTTAATGAGTTCCCTTTCAGCCGTCTGCCCTTACAAATTAAAGTATGTTATATAGGAAACATGCACAAGCGTAGAAGGAGGGAGTTTGTGAAACCTACGCGTAAATTCATTGCGGGCAAGTATTGTTGATCGCTGTCTCTAGACGTCTTACTGGGTCGCCTGCTGCGTCCCCTTGAAAGGCAGTTCTATAAATACGTCATTCTTTTCTGCAGTTGCCATTTTGGGGGGCGCACTGCAAGGCCTAAAATGGTGGAGAGGGATGCGTTGGCCATGCAATGAGACGCCTAAAAAAGAGTACGTGAACACATACCGGCCTGGTTAGTCAGAGGTGAAAACAGATTGATTTCGAGTTCTATTCTCGCACACCTTGTCAATACAAATCATTAGGTCGATGCCGAAGAAGCCTTTCAGGTTATCTACCAGACACTGGCAAACTTCCCCAGAGGCCTACGTCAAAAGGTGTTGGCTACAGCCGAGGGAGTGGCTATATGGCTGGCGAATCCAATGCTATGTTGTCGGTGGACGTTGACACAGGCACTCTGTCTTCCGTGGCCAACGCCGATCCCAGATGGCTATTACACGTCGTCCCAACTCCCTGATAGCAGTGATGTGTACTCCAAGTATCCGACTTACGAATATCGCTCACAGCCTATGCCACGCCCACCCTTGCCCCAATGATCATAACACGCCAACGTCGTCATGCGGGTGGCGTGGAAACGATAACTGTTAACAGCCCCTGAGTCACTTAGTAAGCCTGCGGATTTCTCACATTTTCAATTTCTATATAACTGTATTGGCTTGATGATGAGTTACCGCAGACTCGTGCTCGCCAAATTGACTTTCAATCTCGTATTCCATTTCAAAATTACACTGGAAGCCTCTATTAGCCACGTCAATTGACCGACTGACGAATAATGGGTAAACGGTCGATCGTACTCCAACTTCATGTGCGTCTGTGCCATGGGCAACCATTGGAGTTAACGTCTATGAATACGAGACCACAAATTCAAAGGTCTGCCCATGTTCACAGAAGATACCGTCTAGCAGCCCACAGTGTGCTTGCACTCATTCGTCTTGGCATGGGGGATTTGGTGGGCAGTTTCAGAATCCCACACCAGATAGCTAAATGACAAACGATTGCCTGCGCGTATGTCGGCCTGTTATGCTGGGTGTTGGCTAACTGCTTGCCGCTCTCGACAGAAATTGTACAGTGTTACCGCTGGAGTGTCCTGTCTCGACCTACTGACTCGTCCAACACCGCTTTCGACAAGTGATGCGGTCGGAAAAGTGTTAAGTCTGAAGTTGCACGAGGAAGAAATTACCATCGTTAAGCCCTCGTTGCAGCTTCGTCCTTGGTCAGTGCTGGGTAGTGTCCGCCGCTCCTTCATGGACTGATGGCATCGAATGCGACTAACGCCCTGGTCCCGTTTGTTTTTCATGGAAATGCTACATTCTTATATGTTTGCTCAACAATCTGTGAGTGGGGGGGGGGTGTGTTTAATGCATATTTTGAAGTGAAATCAAGGGACAGAGTGGAAACGCTGACTTCAGTTTGGATTCTATTAGGCGGTTATTAACTGCTTTGAACAAATTGTCGGCGAGCACACACACCTATGCCGTCTAGGATTGCATGTGACCCTATTGTCACAACGCGTAATTGCTGTTTCCCAAGGCGGGTAGCTTTGTACATCTCGAGTCTTCTGCATCAAACTTAAACTTCACAGCCGGCTTCGAGGGTCTTGTATCTTCCGGATTCCCCAGTTTTGACCTAACAATTCCTTCCTTGTCCTTTACATGAATCTCTTAAGGATTTTGGAACTTCAGTTGGCTTTATTTTTGAACCGTGAAAGTGTAGACCTAGCCAAATCAAAAATGCTATTTTCCACGTTCCCATTACCGGATGCATCCATTCTACGTGGGGCGACGATCCGCGGTCATTTTGGAACGTTTGCCGCCTTGTATACGCATATAATGCGAAAGTTCGTTCGCTGTTAGATGCTGTATCGACCAGTTATTTGGTGGTGGCAATCTGCAATTATTATTGGCAGTTAATTTTAACGAAGGTTCTACGCAATTCGTCAGTATTACTTCTGGCTGTCTTTAAAAAAGTCCTTCTACCGTTATGTGGAAGAAGGCGTGCGAATGTGCGTAGTGAGAGTATAGATGCCTTATTACGCTGTACGATCCCTGTCGACCTTTTCAGCCTTTAGGTGATGTTCCGTCTCAAAGGACATGCGTGCATGCAAAAAGACGAATTGATGGAGCTCTTTTCCCTCCAGACTGTACGCTCGTGTAAGCTGGTACATGGCGAAAATTAAGTTAGTACTTCATTGCTGACGGAGTACCAAGACGAAGACCTCCCACAAAGTTCATTTCCGCTCTCCTCAGGGAGTCTGCAGGAATTTCCCCCCCCCCTGACTACTTTTTGGCGCGGCTATTACCCCATTCGGCAATTTCCAACAGACCACATTCATGCCTGTGACCCCTGCTCATAGCACTTCGCCCTGTTTTCCATCTCGCCCTTCATGCGATAATTTAATCAGTGCCTGCACAGTTCAGGCGGTGCTCATTAGGGGCAAAACGACAACGTCTGCGCTGGTTACATTTGCTGCGTTCGCCCCCCTTACAGACAGTCGAAAAGCCAGGCTTTTAGAATGCCTGTTTTCTGTGGCTCCTTGTTGTTGCTGTCGACTGTGCCCTCACCTTTGGCTTGCATTGGGTGTCCTTTTCAGGTATACTGCAGTATACCCTTGTGACTTCTCAACCTCGTCTCTGACTTCTGGTTTAGAACCACGACTGTCAGTCTGATAACTACAGGCAGGGGTTCATGCATACGTTTTATTGCTCAGAGGAGTACCGACAAAGGCAAGGGAGACTTAAATGGCCATTTCTAGCTTATTGACCGTTATCGGCCAGCCATACTCAGCCTCGGGTTTTTGCAGCACCGGGGATTTGAAACCAAGGTCTTGGGTTATTGAGTCGAGCCTCCTACCACAGAGTCACGATTCCGTTGTCCTCTCGGTTGCGATCGAGAAGATTATGTGTGTGTTGAAATTGCGTTCATCGATCGGGTTACGGGGCATGCTTGCAACCGACGAGACAACGGCCCGTGGCCCGAGGATAGGACGTTCGACTCAATGAACCAAGACGCCGGATTCGAATCCTGGGTACGGCCGGCTGGCTAGTGCGTTTAATAACACAGAAATGGCCATTTTCAGTCTGGCTTGTGTTTGTAGATAGTCTCCCGCTGCCTATATTAATATTCACCATACAACTGCCGGCAGGACTCCAGATCGAGCCTCAGAGCATGACGGAACGAGCACGTCCCGTAAACCGATCGGCGAACGCAATTCCGACGTAATTTTGTTAATAAAGTCGAGTGGAGCTGGAATAGTTCCCCCGCTTGGCAATCGCCATTGTCACCCAGCGATATCCCAAATTTTGGCTTATGAGCTTCACAGCCTCGCTCATCAATGCTGTTGGCATCTCGGCAATTCGTGTTCATTCTCTGATGCAGGAATTCATTTTTGAGATTGCTAAATGGCAGGATAGGGAAACTGCGGTCTCTGTCCTAACACGAGGACCAAGTTAACCGGGCGAAAGTCTTTTAACTGCCACACACTACAGTTCTGGTCAGATTTGAAAACTTGCGCCTCAATGTTACAGCGTCAGGTCACTGGTGTGGGATAAGAGTCGCCCTTACAGAAGCCTGGTTCATGCAGGTCGTGTGTGTGGGACGTCTAGACGGACTGTTGAATTTTGCCAATCACTGTGCCCGCCTCCGGTTGTCTTGACACGGTCTTGTCATAAGAGCCACCTGGGATGAGAGAAGAGAGCGTGCGGCAGATAATACGTCTACCCTAGGTTGCCGGTGCTGCGCTCGCTCTGTGGCAGCCGGACCGTCAACGTCAGCTCACTTTTTAACCGCCACCTGTCGCCGACTTAACTAAATCTGCCGCTTGTGTTTCTTTGTTTTAGAACTGCGGGCTCACCCCTGTGAGATTTGTGGCAAAGCCTTTCTGGAGAAGCGAGACCTGAAGAGGCATATCGACTGTATCCACAAAAGTATGCATTTTCTCCTTCACTAGTACGTTGTTTCTGGCTGGATTACCTTTTGACTACTCTCTTTTGCTGAGCCGAAAGAGAGCAAAATTGCCTCGCGACATGCGTAAGTCCTTGCCCTATGTGCACAAAGGCATTCGCAGGCAGCGCCGTTCATGTTGCTTCAGACATTACGCCCTACCGCGTTACCGGTGCCGGCTCGAACAGTCCACTGGTACGTGGAAGAGAGAGAGAGAGCGCGGCCGATTTTCTATTTCTTAACCGAGGAGGTGGGCAGGAGGCGGAATCCACCAGCCGTCGAAACTCCCGACCAACGCTTAAACCGTTGATTTCATGCGCTTTCTGGCTGGACTCGGATATTTCTCTCATACCCCCTGAACTATGGTGATAAACTGTCTGTACTACGAGAATGGTGGTGATAGGGGCCTTTTAGGAGAGTGATCGTAGTGTTCTTAAAAGTATACAAAGGAAAAATCATATTTGGCAAGATATGGTTATGTAGCCGCATCTGACTTACACAATACTGTTGACCTACATAATTATTTTCAGTTGGTGTGACTGCGTTGGCATGCTGTTTCTGTGCGTTGCGGTGTGTGTTCTGTTGGCGGCCTTGTTTCTTTGTTGCCGTGTCTACCTTTTGGCCCAATGCCGGTGGTCCTTCTTGACTGTCGGCCTGTCGTCCCCTTCCAACTTCCGGACTAGATGTTTCACGATCAGTGTTTATTACTTCACTTAAGGGTTAGGGGTTAGGGTAAGTATTTATCAACCACCCAAAGTACAACGACACATTCCCAATAGCATTTCTTTTGCATACAACTACTTGACCTCGTTGCCTGGGCGTTCCCCCCACCTCTAAAGACCCCCTATCTACCACCGGTCCAGTATTACAGGTGGCTGGGGTTTGTTTGCCTCGGGTGCCGCTACATCACAACATCTGATCTCATGATGCTTGTTTTGATGCATAAAAGGTCACTTTATGTGCAAAATAGTCCGTGCCATAGCAAATATTTTTCCACTCCCTACTAAGTATGAAGGTAACACATCAGGCGACAGACGCCACCGAATTATCGGAAGACGATATTTTATATGGAAGAATTTTGAAGTGATTCGACGGTGGAAAAATGGCGTGGCTTTAAACCACTCATAACGTAGGTCGTGTAGGTGGCTATTTCAGGGGTTAGAGGACGGTCAGTAATAAGCCAATTCCACTGCCTTTCCATGCATCAGCGGCTTCCTCGTTATATCACTTATGCCACTTTTGCGACGCGCATTTACACACTGTCCCCCTGTTTCTCTGTCATGTCAGCACAGGAGACTTTCAACTGAGAAGTTCTAGGGAGGCCAATTGAGTAGTTCGACACGCGAGGCCATAATGTTTATCTTTTTTTCTACAGCCCGATCACACAACAGAGCACTTCTGGCGACACTGTACGGACTGACCACCAGGAAATTCATTTTTGTTTTTTTTTAGAGCTGCGAGAATGTGCATGTCATATTTGTGGCAAAGCCTTTGCTCAGAAGGCGTGTCTGAAGAATCATGTGGATGGTATCCACAAGGGTACGCTTCTTGCCCCCTGATTCATTTACCCCATATAATATCTCTCCTCGCGATCTGTCGACTATGTCAACACCTCATTCTTTTTCGCATAATTTATCTATCTGAAGAAAGTTTTACGTCTGTTGTTTTATCAGAATTCTCGTAGTAGTTGCCAGGTTGACTCAACGACGCATAGGTTTGCAGAGCCGGTTTTGACGGCCGCTTTCGTATGTTTATTGTTTAACATTAAAATGGGGACTTTTGGGAAGATTTTCTTGCACATACTCTGACTTAGGATTGCCAACAAAACATGTGATTACAGGGCAGCTTTTTCAGAGTCAACAGATCGTTCTTACGGAACTCACTAGTTCCGTTGTGCCTTACGCGCTCTCTCTCGAGCCCAACCAGCAGCCACCATTGTATATTCCCGATCGAAACCGACAGGGCAACGGGCTCGCGGCCCAGTGGTTAGAGGCGAGGACCTCTAGCAGGTCAAGAGTTCGAACCTCGGGTGTTTCACATTTCGGGGTCGGGTATGAGTGGCTGACGACGGCTAATAAGCCAGAAATGGCCACTCCAGTCGCCCTTGTCTTTGTCGGTAATAACATATTGCGTATATCATGCGCTGCTGTGCGGCTGCTGGTTGGGCTCGAGAAAGAGCCCGTAAGGCACAACGGAACGAGTGAGTTCCGTAAGAACGATCGGTGAGCGCCCCTCTACCATTAAAGAACAGTAGCTAGCGGTGACTCATTAAATTCGACAACCTAACTATGACGCAGTTCACCTTCGAGGTGTACTTGCCATGGCTTTGTTTACGTGTGCATGTTTAGGTCCGACATGATGTGAACGCCTTGAAGTTACAGGCTGTGGTCTCCTTGCTGCCAAACCGAGTGTTATATTTCTAAAATCTAAGAAGTTGATTTCTAGAAAATGGACAGACAAGGATCAAGAGCGAGATCCATCCTTTACACTCCTCAAGTACAACTACTACTACTACTTGTCTTTCAGAACTGCGGCAGTATACGTGTGAGATCTGTGGCAATGCATTTAAGGAGAAGGGGCATCTGAAAAAGCATGTCGATGGCATCCACAAACGTATGTTGCTTCTGCCCCCCTGACTTACCACCTCCTTTTTTTCAACCAACTCCTTACTACACTGCCCTGATCGCCCTCGCGACTGTTTAATGCCTGCTGGTTCTTGACGATGATTGTCTCCTCTCGGCACGTTTGTCTCTTAGTGTCACCTTACGGGGGATACCTCGGATTTGAAGCCCGATGTGGCTGCGCACGGACCCAGACGCCTGGTCATTTGACTACTGAATGTTAATGTAATGGCTTTTCCCATCTTTTCTGTACCTATAGGAGATGTGCTAACTCATGAAACGTTAACCTAAATTCTGAAATGAGATTTGGACTCAAAAAGATTACTCAAGTGACGTTGTAGTATTAATCGCCGTGCAGTATAATCCCAAGATGATTCAGTCACTTCGGGATGCCGGCTTTTAAATGAACTTCTTTCAGGCTGCCTGCAGAAACTACACTCTGTAAAAATGACTACTTGGCAAACTCTTATTTTGTAGGCGCACCTGTTAGGGGTGAAGGTTAGGGGTTAGCGCTTAGTGTTAGGGGTCACGGGTTAGGGTTGTAGTTCTGCATTAAACCTCTTATTATCACTGGTCCCGTATGACAAGTGGCTAGAGCATGTCTACTTTAGATTCGACCGACTACTTATTTAGTAGGATTTTTTCTCATTGTTTTTTGGTGCCCTTAGACATTAAAATATATTTCATCGAAAACATGCATAAAAATATTTATTCTTTCACTCATTTGGCGGCAAATTACGTCTTCTTCATTTTTTTTATGATTTAAGGAAGGGCATACTTTGGTCTTGAAAAGTTACTTATTATGGGATTTTTTAAAACCGTGAAATGCCTGTTCATAAAACATCGTGTCTCTGCATTTACTAATGTTTCTTGTTAAGTTTACAATATGGCTCAATTCCACTGCTAAATTTTATGAACCCTGTATCATCGCCCTCTAATAGCATATAGAGATGTATGATTTTCCGTACGCGGAAAATACACAGCGTGTAGTTTGGAAACCCTGAATGCAAGTGTAACGGCAGGTCGGGTTCAAAAGTATTCGGGAATTGGAAGTTTTTGAAACCGGATTATACCCTTCCTTCAAGTATAACACTTGAAGAAGACTTAATTTCCTACCAAATGAAGTATAAAAATGAATATTTTTATGCATGTTTTCTGTGAAATATCTTCGAATCTACAAGGGCATCTACAATCAATGAGAAAAGTTCATACTAATTAAGTAGTCGTTTTTTACAGTGTAGTTTTTGCAGGCGGCCGAAAAGAAATTCATTTAAAAGCCGGCATCCTGAAGTAACTGAAATACCGTGTCATCATTCTGTCGGGTAATTAGTATTACTACCCCACTTAAGCAATCTTTTCGAGTCGAAGACGTATTTTAGCATCTCAGTAAACATTTCAGGAGCTAGCACATCTGCTGTAGATCCGCTGACACTCTAAAAGTCGTCTTTGCCTGAGATCACACAATTTCGGTCCACTAAGGTTAAACAGAAATCAGTTTATAACCGAACGATTAGTTGTCACTTTTAAGGAAATGCAGTGGGTTTGTCTTCTGGAAAAGGCGGTGGAGCATAACGGCTGTAATGAACCATCTAACCATTATATCGACCACGAAGCATAGGAAGTACCGCGAGGGGGAGTGAGATTATGAACAACACGTCTGTCCTACGAGTGTCCCTAATAATTAAATAAGAAAAAGTGACTATAGAACAATGAGGGATAAATTCTAAAAGTAGTATTGAGAGTTCCAACGTCGAATGCCAAATAACAGTATTAGTCCACAGACCAAGCGAGTTCTACCCCGGCAATTCATTTTCGCTGTTTGAGGTAGGGGATTCCGTTTTTTACATGTAGTTTAATAGAAAGCTGAGGAACTGCAGTCCAGGGTAGATCTCAGAGAAAGAACCCATAATATTAGCATGTATTTGACTTTATGAAAATGTTTAAGCCCCTCGAAGTGGCATGTTTCTTACTACGGTTAACTGAAGACATGATTTCGTTTGCAGAACTGCGGGAGCACGCATGTGATGTTTGCGGCAAAGCATTTACGGAGAAGAAGACTCTAATGATGCATATCGATGGCATCCACAAAAGTACGTCTTTTCTGCTCACCGATTTACCTCCCTGCAAATGCACTCTTTTCCCGCAAGGGTTCTCATGGTCCTGAATATGCCGCAGTTAATTAAATAGAAATATTTCTAACTTACAGCTATAGGATGTGCGGCGCCTACCCAGAGACATACGCTGATTGGCTTTGCTCGCGAAACATGGATTAATCTTCTAAAACATTGCCTGAGTGGGACTACAGTACTGATTATATAGTATAGTATTTACTGGATACCAGAATTTCGGCTCTTAAATATGCGTCTTCCTAATCGTCTGCGAAGTCACACGTCGAAAGGGTCTATTTAAGTAGTATGCACCTCAATTATGTTTTTGGTAGCTTTATAGATCAAAGCATTTCCATAGAGTGCGTGCACAAACACTTATTTATTTTGTTCATTCTAAATTACCCACTTGGTTTTACATGGGTTCCTAATTAGGATGATTTTTGCGTAGGCGGAATGTGGGTCCTGATCAACTGTAATTCACGAAATGCGACGTCCATGCAGGTCCACTTTTTAGGAGTAGTTGACCTTGGTTTCGCCTACACGCAGAGTCTTTTTATTTCAGACGTGATGTGAAATATTTGCCGCTTTCAATATGCAATTGTTTTGTTTCGTGCAATTCAACTGGCCCCGAAGTCATCTTTAGGAAGTTTGCATTTATTTTTTTCTGAATAATTTGCAACTGTTAGTCAATCAAACAGGGGCTCTTTTACTGACTCCTCTTATTGTTTATTCCTCAGAACTGCGGCAGTATACATGCGAGCTTTGTGGCAAGGCCTTTACTCAGAAGAAATCTCTGAAGAGACACGACGACAGTGTCCACAAAAGTATGATTCTTTGGTACCCGTGGGCTTGCAACTTTCCATTTTCTGTGCTGCGGATAATTTGCTTTAAATCACAGGAAGTCGGGTCTGTCAGCTGCTGCTGACGTTGTACCTTGAGTCGATATTATTAATTTTGGGATTTGCATGATACGTAAGCTCCTGGAAGCAGATGGTGTGCCGACCAAAATCATCGCCATGACGGAGGCCTACTACTACTACTACTACTACTACTACTACTACTACTACTACTACTACTACTACTACTACTACTACTACTACCACTACTACTACTACTGCTACCACCACCACTACTACTACTACTAATACTACTACTACTACTACTGCTACTCATACTACTGCTACTACTAAAACCACCACGCGAGTTCTAGTCCATAGCGATCTCTCCCAGCCTGTCGACACTCGATCTGGTGTTCTGCAAGGTTGTATCCTGTCGCCCATTCTATTCAGCTACACTTTTGATTAAATTCTCGAGGGAGCACTACACGGAGTTGACGGTGTCAAGTTTATACTCGGCTGCCAGCCGACTGATCTCGACTACGCTGATGGTATCGCTTTACCGGGCTTTAGGGTTTGATGATCTGCAGCCTGTGGTTTTACGAGTGAATGAGGTCGGTAAAGCAATCGGTTTGTCCATGAACGCTGGGAGGACCCAAGTGCTTTAAAGCTGCATGCCTGACCACAAGGCACTTCTTGAGATTACTGACTGTCAGCCTGAAGACATTTTTGGTTTATTTGTCGTCGTCAGCCAGTCATGCTCAACCCCGAAGTGTGGAACACCTGGGATACGATTCCGCGACCTGTTGGCTAGAAGTGCAACGCTCCCTATCCACTGAGCCACAGGCTTGTTGTCCTTCCGATTGCGATCGGGTATATACAGTGGTCGCGGGGGAGGTGCTCACCGGTCGTGTTACGGAACTTACTCGTCCCGTTGTGCCTTTGGATTCTCTCTCATTAAAAAATTACGTCTGGATGTAAACCAATGCAGACATTTCAGTAGTACCGGCTCCTCGAGGCGGGACAGGCCAGTGAATGTTATTCTGCCGGCGATTGGCCAACCAAAACCTCTGCAGAACAACGCCTTCTTTGAAACATAGTAGGCAGTTCTCCATAGTTTTTAATTACCTCGCGCATATACTTGATTCCTATTGAAAAAAATACAGTTCATGATGTCGTCGCCTGCCTACTCGACCAACTCCAAATTTGTGAATTCATGGTGCCACCTCTTTCTCTGTGATATGCAATCAACCAACACCTGCTCAATTTGCACGACCTGAGTTGCAAACAGTTGCAGTCAGCAGTATCTGATCCGTTGACGTAAACACCTGTTTTGAATCGACGCCTGTGCAGGGTAATGCCATTTGCTTGTTCATCAGTTCGAAGTCTACGGGGTAATAGCGTCGTTCTATACCTTGCTTTTTAATACGAACGCCACATATGTCCGTGCGCTTATTTTCCGTTTACTTCATCCTCGTGAATGCGTAATATGAACTGTTCAGAAGCCCCGATCGACTTTGAACTGGGCATTTTTGCAGCCCGTTAAGACGTTAGAGTCTGCTTGACAGCGTTTTACGAGCCAGCTACCAATTTCCACTTCTAAAACGTTAAAGCACCCTTTTTCGGATGCCACTCTTATTTAGTAGGATCAGAATTGCAGGGCCCATGCGTCACTGAGTATGTCGCCCAGATCCATCACCCTAACACGTTTTGTTTCGGCTAGGACTTTATTTACCAGTGAACTATTGGTTTTTTTGCAGCCTGCGGGGTTGTCCTATCCCATTTGGTTCCTCGCATGCCCATAGGATTGTTACGTGCAATTCTCAGACCTCAGCCATTCTACTGGGCTAGGAGCTCTCCTGACGGCCTAGGGTGCGCCAGTTAGTGCAACTACCCGGAAGTAGGTAGCGTCTCTGTGAACAACGTGCGACGTGAGGGAATCGCGCTCCTCGTGCGCTCCGGCCGACCTGACCGAATCTATGGGACACTCCAGACACCGTAGCGTGGGCAGATGACTCACCCAACACCGAGGGAATGCGCAACGCAACCGTCGTAATAGTAAACCCACAGAAATGCAAACAACAGACCTCACATTGCGACTAAGGGTTGAACTACTAGACAGTCTTCGATTATTAGAAGCGGTATTTGTAACCTGAAAATGCAAAATCAAAATAAACGTTACGTTGGTCATCCTTTTCCCTCCAGCCTCTTACAACTTACGTCCTAGAAACAATGTGCGAATCCATGTGTCGAGGGCCGGTATGTGTTGGCATATCAGAGCAGGTGCCTTTGTGAACGATTTTCTGGTACGTGCATGTCAGTCATCGGCTGGTTCCGGGAGCCGAATCGGTGCGGATGCGTGGTCGACGCTAGACCACCACGTGGATGGGGTTGACTGCACGTTCGTCATGGTAACCTAAAAGCTGCACATGGCTACTCCGGTGGGGAGGAGACATACAGCCTCTTTAAGTGGAAAATGTGTATTTCTTTTGGTCATATATGTTTATGTAGCCGCGCACCTGAGGTAAACAAACCCCAGCCACCTGTAATACGGGACCATTGGTAATAGGGGGTTTTTATAGGTGGGATCGGGGAATGCACAGGCGACGAGGTCAAGTAGTTGTATGTAAAAGAAAAGTTATTGGGAATGCGCGGTTGTAGTTTGAGTGGTTGAGAAATACTTGCCCTAGCACTAACTCCAATAGTATTGTGTTCATCAGGTGCGGCTGTATGACCATATCTTGCCTTTCTTCTAAGTAAAGTAACTGTGCCATTTCACCCTTATGAAACATCTTCAGAACTACGAGCATACTCATGTGAACTTTGTGGCAAAGCATTCGCGGTGAAGGGCAACTTGGTGATTCACGTCAAGGGTGTCCATAAAAGTACGTCTCTTTTTCTTTTCACTCGGTACTTTTGTTTGCCACAATCGCCCAACTGGGGAATCCTTCTTCTGCTGCGCATGGACTCGTCAGGATACTGGCTTTTGGATGCTCTTTTTTCGACCTGTTATAACCGCCCTCAATAAAACGGCTACTTAAGTAGCATGTAGTTTTCGCATTTATTTCCGATATCCTTGTAAATTCAAACATATTTTTCAGAATATATGCACGCAATATGCCTTCTTTCACTCACTTTCTAGGAAATTGCGTTTTATTCGAATTTTATACCCTGAGAAAAGATATGTTTAGGCTTTGAAAACGTGTTTCGACCCGTGAATAATTTTAAGCCAGATCAGTCGTTCCATTATCTTAGGTGTATTCTTTCGGCGTAAGGAAAGTCATACACACCTGAATGCCTTTAAGAAGATGCCGTGTAGAGCTCATAAAACTTTGCAGTGAATACGGACTATTTTGTATGCTTTATGAGGAGCATTGATACAATAAAGGTACGGATGTTGTATGAATGGACGTTGTACTGCCTTAAAAAATCTCATAGTTGGAAAATTTAACACCGAAAAGCACTGTTTCTTCGACGCCATGATTTGCCGCCAAATGAGTAAAAAAGGCATATTTTGCGCATACTATCTATCAGATATGTTTTAATTTATAAGGCCATCAGAATTCAATGTAAAAAATGCATACTATTAGTCATTTTACTTGGTACGGTTTTTAGCGGTCGAAAAGAAGTGCATTCAAAAGCCAGCATCCTGACGATTCGGAGGTATTATATGATAATGTCGCATGATCATCACCATTACAGCCCTGCCTATGTAGCTCTTCCTAATCTAAAACGCATTTCAGAAGATCGGCTAAGATTTCATAGGACCGGTCCTTGACTGTACGTAACAAGCCAGTTGCCCTTTTTATGAATCTCATAACACACAAGGGGACTAAATCTGTCGGCGGGCGAGCCGCAATGAAACATGGCTACCTAAACCAAATAAGTAGACACGTTCTGGGAATAACGACTGGGTGGTGCCACATACGCCACGCTTGTCTGAGAGGATATTTACAAGTGAACTGCTTCCACAATAAGGTGTCCTGCACCGGAGACTAGTTTTGACGTATCATGATAGGCCATCGGACGAATGGGAGGGGACAGGATCGTGCATCTTTTGCCTTACAGCCAAGTAAAAGGATATCGTTTGGAGTGTGTAGCAAATGAATCGCCCTTCGAAGTTCCCAAGAAAGAGAGATAATTAAGAATGTCTCGTGTATGAGAAAGCTCTCGTATCAGATAAATTTTGATGCATTATTGGCATCTGACAAATTAGTTTCAACTCATAACTTGAATCGAAGGCAAGCCCAATCTTTGATACGTTTTTCCATTTACTTTTCAGAGCTGCGAGAATTTGTTTGTGAGATCTGCGGTGAAGCCTTTTCACGGAAAGGAGACATGGCGAGGCATGTTGACAGCATCCACAAAAGTATGCTTTCTCGTCATAATCGACTAATTTAGTGTTTTTCATTGTTTTCTTAGTTTAATGTCTGCTTTTTTCTTATGACTGTCATTCCAATCTGTTTTTACTCGGTTTGCCCACGAGCTCGCAATGTCGGAGGTGCGAGAGAGGGGACATTCCCTCACGACTCCTTATCACTAATAAGTCTGACGTAATTCTGCGCCCTAAATACTAGACATTGAGGGGTTTCCAATTCACGAGGTAGCCGGACACTGAGTATCAGGTCAAGTGATACTGCAAGGTAAGTAGGATCTGGTCCCTATGAGACTGAAATCAAACACGCGTGTGCCACGCGTATATGGGATCTTTATGGGCCACTCACTTCCCATGGCCATGTTTACTCGCTCAATCTCGCCCCTCCGTTTTTATCTTATGGGTCCGGCAAAGATGTAGGATATAGGTTACAGGGGCTTGTTCACCATAACTGCAGTGTTGGCAATTTCTGTCCCCCACGGGCAACGGGCATTTCGTCGAAGGCCGGTCGGTAGGCAATATGCCCGACCTACACCCCCTTTTGGCTTTTGCTGGTTGGTGAGGCCGTTTTCTGGGAACAGTGCTTTTTTGATGGAATTAATATCAATTCTTTGGGCGCAGGATTTCCTTCTCGTTGAAGAGCGTCTTTTGTAACAAGTAAGTTTGTAACCAGTGTTTCTTTAATCGAACTGTCAGAAGACTTTGCTAACTGATGTTACGGTAGGTGTGGCAACTCATGAAACGTCAACCGAAATTCCGAAATGCCTCCTTGTTTCGAAAGGTTTATTTAAGTAGGGTTGTGAAACCAATAATCGTGCAGCATAATTATAGAATAATTCAGTTACCTCAGGATGCCGCCTTTGGAACGAACTTCTTTCCGGCTGTAAAAAATGACTAATGTAACATACATTTTTCTTATTGATTTGCGATGCTCTTAAAAATTCAGTCATATTTCATAGAAAACTTGCATAGAATATTCACTCTTGTCATTCGGTAGAAAATTACGTTTTCTCCCAATTTTATACTCCAAGAAATGGTATACTTCGGTTTAAAAAAACTTTCCCAATTCCCCGATTATCTTGAACCCCCTATCTGCTCTTTCGTTTGCAGTCAGTGTTTCTTAACTACATGCCGTATATTTCCCGCGTACGAAAAACCATACAGTTTTCTACGGTATTAAGAGGAGACTATATAGGGTTCATAAATTTTGGCAGTGGATTTGAACCATATTGTTGACTTTACAAGCCACCTTGGTAAATGCAGAGACATGGCATATTCACGAATGAAGGCGAAATTTCGAGTTCCAGGTGTATACATATTTGAAGAAGAAGAAGAATCGAGCACCGGAACAATTCGTTTATTATCCTGAGCTTTCAGACTCGTACAGGAGTCCATCGTCAGAGGTAGTGGCAGAAACAGGACGAGCGGCAGTTATAAGGCACGTAGACCCAATCATCGACCGACGTCGCACGACTGGAGGTGACTACGAAGGGCTCTGTACGCCGGCGCCAGATCGATAAATCGATTGACCGAGTTCTCATCCGAGGCCCAGGCTTCAATCAATTCTCGGCCTGTTTTGTTTCCGGCGTGGGCGACTATTTTGGTGGCTGTGAAGTCAAACTCGTGACCCATTTCGTAGGTGTGGGCGGCCACTTGTGACAATGCGTCGCCTCGCCGCACAGCCAGCTTATGTTCATGTATGCGCGATCCGAGCATGCGTCCAGTCTGTCCTGTGTAATTACAAGGACAATTTTGACACGGAATGCGATACACTACTCCAGATTGCTCTTCAGGTTTTAACCGGTCTTTGATCTTCATGACCCTGTTGCGCATGGTGGCTTTGGGGCGGTGTGCGATTCCAACCCCTAGCTCCGCAGCAATGCGCTCGGTCGCTTCTGAAACACCCTTGATGTATGGCAGAGCATGCCATATCGTCGGTGGCGTTGATGTTTGAGTTCTCTGGTGGCGACCGCGTAGGCAGCGACTTATGAATGCCCTCGGATAGCCATTTTGCACAAACTGGTCGCGGAGATAACGGGCCTCACGCGCTCTGTCTTCCAGTTTGCTGCAATGAGTTTGGATCCGTTTGAAGAGCGTCTTCACACAGCTTCGTTTGTGAGCCACCGGATGGTTGCTGTGAAAACTGAGAAGCTGTGTGGTGTTCGTTGCCTTCCTATAAACCGTCGTTTCAAGTTCACCGTTAAGGTTTCGTCTGACGAGCACATCCAGGAAGGGCAACTGCTGCTCCTGTTCTTCTTCTCTCGTGAATTTTATATCCGGGAAGACTGTGTTGAGCAGGCTGTGAAAATGTTGCAGCATGGCATATTAGAAACAGCCATTTCACGGTATTAAAAAATCTTACAATAAGGAACTTATTTAAAACCAAATTATACTCTTCCTTTGAGTATAAAGTTGGAAGGCGTAATATTCTACCGAATGAGCAAAAGAATGGATACTATTATGCATGTTTTTATAAAACACAATTGCATTTTGAAGGGCATCAAAAATCAATGAGAAAAATTTATGCTACGTAAGTAGTCCTTTTTTACAGTCTAACTATTAGAAGGGGAAAGGAGAAAACTTTATTGAGTAAATTGTCGACGTCGGTTCACCATGTCGTCGTCAGATTGGATTAACTTTGCAAAAAACACAGTTATTGCATGCAGCCGGAAAAAAGTCCGTTTTAAAGCCGGCACCTTAAGGTAACTGAATTATTATTTATTAAGCTGCACGATAATTACAGTAGATGTGCTAACTCATGAAATGTCAACCAAAATTTCGAAATTCGTTCTCGTTTCGAAAAGATAAATTAAGTAGTGTTGTAAAACTAATCATGATGCAGGATAAATCTATAATGATTCAGTAACCTCAGGGTGTCGACTTTCGAATGACCTTATTTTCGGCTGCATGCAGGATCTATACTCTGCAAAAAAATGACTACTTATGTAGTATGCCATTTTCTCATTGATTTTCGGTGCCCTTGAAAATTCAATTATATTTCATGGCAAACATGCATAAAAATATTCATTCTTTGACTTTTTCGGTAGAAAATCACGTCTTCTTCCAATTTCGTACTTCAAAGAAGAGTATAATTCGGTTTTAAAAAATCCTTCTAATTCGCGAATAAGTTTGAACCCGACCCGCTGTTACACTTGCATTCAGGGTTTCAAAACTATAAGCTGTATATTTTTCGTGTACGGAAAACCATGCATTTGTCTACGGTGTTAAGAGGAGACTATATGAGGTTCATAAAATTAAGCAGTGGATTTGAGCAATATTGTTAGCTTTACAAGCCACATTCGTAAATGCAGATACATGACGTTTCACGAACGGCCATTTAACGGTATTAAAAAATCTCACAGGTATAAACTTTTTTAAAACCGAATTATACTCTTCTTTTGGGTACGAAATTGGAAGAAGACGTAATTTTCTACCGAATAAGTAAAAGAATGAATATTTTTATGCATGTTTGCCATGAAATATAATTGAATTTTCAAGGGCACCGAAAATCAATGAGAAAATGACATACTACATAAGCAGTCATTTTTTGCAGAGTGTAGATCTTGCATGCAGCCGAAAATAAGGTCATGCGAAAGTCGACACCCTGAGGTAACTGGATCATTATAGATTTATCCTGCATCATGATTAGTTTTACAACACTACTTAATTTATCTTTTCGAAACGAGAACGAATTTCGAAATTTTGGTTGACATTTCATGAGTTAGCACATCTACTGTAGTTTTGCAGCCATACTTAATTAATCTTTTCGAAACAAAGATGCATTTCGGAATTTCGATTGACATTTCATGAGTTATCCCACCTACCGTATTTAGTCTGAACAGAGGGTAAGATCAGACGTAACATTGCTCATTTTGTCGCGTGTCGTTGACCTTATGTTCCCGTCGCCTTTGCGGTTTTCTCCTGAGGATTTTTCGTCAGCGAACCTATTGCACTTGCAAAAAGTGGACTATGAGTGATGCCTAACCTAGCTTTTTTACTTCGTTTCAGGAACTTCGAAAGACTGTCCTTAGTCTTGCCTCTGCGTTGCTCAATCCCCCACCCTCCCTACTCAATCAAATGTATAAAGTATTTATAGATCCCTTTTGCATGTATTAATTTTTCAGAATCATGGCTTTTGTATTTAAAAAAAAAACTCTACTGTGTCGTTGTACTTTTATGGGAAAAATCGGGACGATCCACCGAAAGCCCTCTTTAGCGTATTTTTGGTTAAGTGGATGACAAACAAGTTGCCCATGAACGGTTTTTGGAAAAACTTCTGCGATCTTATCTGAGCTTGGACAGAACCGGCTTGGCACAATTCACGTATGCACCAGAGTTCTTAAGGCGTCTTAAGCCTCCTTAACCAATATAACTTTCTAACGCACAGTAGTATCGGGACTACGCCTGCACTTTACCTCGGACAGTTTTTTTGTTTTGGGGGATTTAGGTCGCAGATCACACATCTTAAAACGCCTTTTGAGAGTCGCCCCTAACTTCAATAGGCAGCTATCCAAACAGGAGTTCCACATATTGCAGGAACTAGACAAACGGTCAGTGATCAATCTTATGAAATGTCAGTCGAAATCCTTAAATGCGTTTCGATTCGGAAGGATTGCTTAAGTCGGGTTGTACAGTAAGTTATTCTGTGGCAAAACCCAGTAATATTCCAGACATGTTGGCTTTTAGATGCACAAATTTTCGGCTGCCTGCAAAAACCGCACTTGGCAAGAAAGTGACCACTTATGTAATATGTATTCTCTCCATCGATTTTCGATACCCTTCTGAATCCGGAAATATGTTGCAGAAAAATGTATGGGAATGCTCTTCCCTGTACCCGTTTGGTAGCAGATCGTGTCTTCTTTATTATACTCGAAGAATAGGTACCCTTAGTTTTTAGTTTCTTATCATGTGATATCCATCCGGATAATACTCCCTGTTGTGTATGCAACGTAATCTGCACCCGCTGCAATATTTTATGGACCTCAAGTGGTATTTTTGTGGCATAGAGGAAAATATGTTTTTTACACGGAAATCATACAACTTTTAAACTGAATAGCGTAAGCAGAAATGCAATAGCTGATTAAGTAAAAATTTTGGAAATAAAATTATAAGACACCCTTCGAGTATAAAGGTTGAAGAATACACGGTTTGCTTCGAGATGGGTACGATGTGTGATATATTCGTGGTTTTCACAAAATATGTTTGAATTATTAGAAGAAGAAAATAGGCTCTCCGGAACAGGTTTATTTAACTGCTGACGTTTCAAAGAGCTGGGTCGGCTCTTCATTGTCAAAGCGTAAACTGCACCTAATCGATCAGAAAGTTAATTTAAAGTGGCAAGCTGTGTTGGCCGGCCTCATGCTGATCGATTTTTCTCTCTCCTCACGCTGCGTCGGCCTCTCAGGAGAGAAAAATCGATCACATGAGGCCGGCCAACACAGCTTGCCACTTTAAATTAACTTTCTGATCGATTAGGTGCAGTTTACGCTTTGACAATGAAGAGCCGACCCAGCTCTTTGAAACGTCAGCAGTTAAATAAACCCGTTCCGGAGAGCCAATTTTCTTCTTCTAATAATCTTCCCGGATCTCTAAACTTTTCCAATGTTTGAATTAATTGCATCGAGAATGGATGGAGAGAATGCACACTACTTAAGTGGCCTTTTCGTGCTGTGTGCGTCTTTTTCAGGCAGCTGAAAAGAAGTGCATTCAAAAGCGAACGTTTGGGCATGTCTAAGGATCCCACGAATTTGCGTCGTAAGATAGTCCGTATTACGGCCCCACATAAGTAACCCTTTATAACCAAAAAGGCATTCCAGAATTTTAGTCAATAGTTTATGAAACAGATCTCCAAAGTCTGGCGACGGGACACAGCTGTGCCATATGCTGCGTAGTGCAGGTGTTACCAATGGCATGATGCGCTGTTCTATATGTGAAATGAGGTGGGACTTACCTGGATAAAAGCGCTAGCTAGGGAAAGTTCTGGACAATACTGATACTCATTGAGTCCGCGAGCTGGGTGATGTCCTATCACAGTTTTAAAGTTGAGAATACATTTTCCACAGAATGCATATTTGGCAACCTTATATTACAATAGGTATGTTGGCAACTAATTTTCCATTTGGAAACGGGGATTTGCCCAAAAATAGCATTACGTTTCAAGGGGCTACGGCGGCTCCGGAAGGAGAGCGGCAGGAGGTGAGGGCTGTGCGGTTCGACTTCGCATTCACCCACGGTGTGGTTCTGTACACGTTCGTCATGTGACCCCTCGGCAGCTGTCCCCTCTCCTCCCAAACGCGCTTGACTACGGAAAACACCTCGAGATGGCTTCTCAAGTAGCATGGATGTCTCTCATTGATTTCTTGCGCTGTTTTAAGTTTAGATGTATTTTATGGAAAACATGCACAAAAATGCTCTTTTTTGTACTCATTTGGTAACTAATCCCGTCCTCCCTTAATTTAATGTTTGAAGAAGGAGTATCAGTCGATTTGCAAAAAAACGTTTTTGATTATGAGGTTTTTACGGCTGTGAAATATCTATTCATATCATATCTGTGAAATTACGAATGCTGCTTATGAAGTGTATGCCATGGCCCGCGTCCGCTACAAAATTGTATGAGCCCTGCAAGACGTACTTTTGATGGCTTGGAGAGATGTATGATCTTCCTTGCACGGAATGCGTACAGCTTGTAATTTAGCAAACCTGAATGCGGCAGAAGCCCAACAGGCGGCCACAGTTAGAAAACTTATCTATGTGTGTCTGGTACAACGGGATGGAGGTTTTGAGGGGAAGAACGGGTGGGGTAAACAGCAGAGGTCACTGGATTGACAGTTGGATGTCGAAAAATGTGTGAAATCGCAGAGAAATAATTATTTGTTTTAATGAAGCCAAAAATACCGCAGGATGGCGCGCAAATAGGGAAAACCGTAGGCGATGCCCAATTGAAAGTGGGCTGGCCGGGGACGTGATGTGATTGGCGGCCGGGGCAGTAAACCTGAACCGCCAAGCGGCTAACCAATGGGATCGTTGGCGCCACACTTGATGTGGTTTGCATCAGATGGACAGGAAACGGACGATGCACAAGGTGGACGAGAGGGAAGAATTTTTGTAGGACCAAAAGATACCCTTCCTTGGAGTGTAAAATTTGAGGTGTCGGAAGTCGATGGGAAAAATTCATACTACTTAAGCCGTCATTCTTACAAAGTGCAGTACTCGCAGGCATCGAGCGTGAAGCTTGTACAAAAGTCGGCATTCTTACGTGACTGAAATATCTAGGGATTATGCCATACGATTGGCATTACATCCATACTTAAGTAGTCTTTTCTAATCAAAAGCATTTCGGTCAACTTTTTATGAGACAGCACATCTACCGTATGTACCGAGTCATCATTGCCTCAGAAGAGCATGCTGGTTAACCGACTAAATCTTCAGGTTTCGAATAATTGTTTGCCCTTTGGATGAGGGGGGCTACTTTGTGAGAGTTAGTTTCGACTAACCCGAGTAGATGACCTACGCCGCGCACTTTGGTAGGAAATAAAAGCGCTTTGGAGTATGAGTGCTGACCCTTCTGACTGTATTAAGAGTATACACCCCGTGATCAGGCCTGAGAAATCTATTGACTTAGGGTTTATTAAATTTGCACTGTTCTTTCTCGCGCATGCGCAAACGTGTGTACGTTGCACAGCTGTACTCTAACTACCCTTCCATTCGTTATTTTTGACCCTAATTTACATGGAGTGGTACTTATAAACATTTCTTCGATTTTCTGTATGTGGATTTAGCAAGTCCTTATTCCTATGTTTTCGCAATACAGTTGACGGACACGGACGGTGATCAATGCCCGCTTACAGCTGCGCCGGTTAACCTTGATGTGCTAACTCATGCAATGTTAACCGAAATTCTAAAATGCGCTTTCGACTCGAAAATATTAGTGGTAGGAGGCGCTCACCGATCATACTTACGGAAATCACTCGTTCCGTTGTGTCTTACGGGTTCCCACTCGAGCCCAATCAGCAGCCGCACAGCGGCGCATGATATAGGCAGTATGTTATTACCGACAAAGACAAGGGAGACTGGAATGGCCATTTCTGGCTTATTTGCCGTCGTCAGCCAGTCATACCAACCCCAAAGTGTGGAACACCCGAGGCTCGCACTCGCGACTTGTTAGTTAGAAGTCCACGCCGCCAACCACTGGGCCGCGGGCCCGTTGCTATGTCGGTTTTTGATCGGGAATACACAGTGGTAGGAGGCGCTCACCGAAAATATTAATTAAGCCGAGTTGTTAAATTAATTACGCTGCAGCGTAGTCCCAAGATGTTTCAGTTACTTCTAGATGCTGGGCTTTTGAACGAGATTACTTCGGGCTGCTTGTAAAAATCACATCGTATAAAATTACTACTTACGTAGCATGCATTTTTCCATTTGATTTTCGGGGCCCTTATATATTTCATGGAAAACATTGTAAAAATATCCCTGTTTTTACCCATTTAGCAGGAAAGCACGTCATCTTTATATTTTATACCTGATGGAAGGGTAGAATTCTGTTTTAAGAAAATTTTTCAATTCTCGAAGAATTCGAACCCGACTTGCCTTTACAGTTGCTTTCAAGGTTTCCAAACTACAAGGTGTATATGTTCCGTGCACGACAAATCCTACATTTCCCTATGCTATTACGTGGTTAATAAAATATAGCAGTGGGTCTGAGCCATACTGTAAGCTTCACAAGCAACATTAGTGAATGCAGAGACATGACGTTTTATGAACGCGTATTTCGCGGTCTTAAAAAATCTCATAATTTGAATCTTCATTAAAACCGAATTATAGCCTTCCGTACAGTATAAAACCTAAGGAGGACATAATTTTCTACCAAATGAAGATAATGCATATTTTTATGCATGTTTCCTCTAAAATATGTTTAAATTCTTAACGGCATCGAAAATCACTGGGGAAGATCTACGCTACTTAAGTAGCCGTTTTTATCGAATATAACTTGCGCAGGTGGCCGATAAGAAACTTCTTCGAATGCTGGTATCCTGATATAACCGGAATATCTTTGGCAAGTTGCGACGCGGGGGTTCATGTTAAAACTCATTTAAGTAATCGTCCCGAACTGAAAACACATTTCAGAATTTCGGTTAATAATTCATGAGATAGCATATCTACTGTATATATGAAAGGTGACTCAAGCAGGCAAGTAAAATCGATATTCAAAAATGGCACAACATGACATCGTATTTGACCAGACGCATGCATGGAAGGCGCCTGTGTACCTCTGCATCGTTGTTCCAGTTACGTTAGAAGTTAAGCCAATCTGGCACCTGGACACGTATACTTATTTTCCCGTTGACATAGGGTAAGCCTCAGTGACATCCTTACCGGTGCAAATCTGCCCAGGATAGCACCTCTAAAATGAATTTGATACAGGTAATACAGCGTGCTCGTGAATGTAGAAGCATAATGAGAACGCAATCACAGCTACTGAAATCGAGACAGTAGGTACCATTGGGGAGGCTGTGGGCACGGCTACCAACTATCATCTTATCCGTTAGAAGTTAAGCCAATCTGGCACCTTGACACGTCTACCTATTTTCCCGTCATTGTACAATGTGGAGACCACGCAAACTCATAAAAAATGCTTTTTGTTAGCATCGTGGTCACAAATAACCGTGTAGCTGTAAGCAAGAAAGCAAGATTCTGCGTTAAGGTGTCATTCCTGAATCATTTCGTGAGTTCAGGCTACCAGCTAAGCAAGCAAGACTTCGGGATTAAAAAGGAGAAGTTCATGGGCCATCTCGTACGTTGTCGTCTCCCCACGAGCTTCCAGGAAGGCTCTGTTGAATGTGTCGACAAAACGTTCTACCAGACCGCAAAACTGGTGATGGTAGGGCAGGGAGCGAGGATTCCGGATGTGCTGGCGACAGAAATCCTCAAGCGTCGATGAAGCAAACTAGGAACTTTTATCTAAAAACCAGGACTTCCGGCAGGCCCTGCGTCGTAAAAAAGCGGTACTGGCAGCTGCGATCGTTGAATTCAGCAAAATCCATATGCACACGTGGCGAAAACCTCTTCGGTAATTGCCAGGATGTTGGCGGTTGATGAGGCGACATCTTGGCAGATTGTTAACATCGGCAATAGCGTCGAACCAGGACGTCCATGTCGCTGTGAATTTTCGAGCTGGTGACACCAACCCGTCGTCAGACGAAATGAAAACGAGGGAGAAAGTTAAGTTGTCACAGTAGACCAGTTAGTGTGATAGGACAGAACAGATCACTGACGTGTGAGGGGGGGGTGGGCTCCCGAGGTCATGTTTGGTCACTGAGTGAGGGGCGGGGAAGGGAGAGGAGGCGGAACAATTACGGCACACCGTGCTGGAGGCGGAGGGCGGGTGGTGAATCAGTCGGAATGCGGGCGGCTGTATTCGCGGTCTTTGATGCGTGATTAGGGCAGGCGGCAGTCATTCGTGAACGTAGACCCTCGTAATGGGCATTTAAGTCAACGTGGCGGTTAAAGCTACCCGCATCGGAGTACCAAGCCTCGAGAAATTCCCTCGCTCGCTTTGTGTTAGCCATGGCGACGACCTCAGTGCCATCCCAATTGAATCGGTGGTCGTACTCGAGTGCATGGGCAAAGACGAGGGACAGGGGGTCTCGCCGACGGATAGCTAGTTTGTGTTCGTTGATATGGGTGCCCAGGCATCGACCTGTATGGCCAACATACACGCAAAAGCAATAAGCACACGGAATGCGATAAATTACATTCGTTTGTTGCTCTTTGGGGATGGGATCCTTCACTCGAGATAGTGCTGCGCGTAGTGAAGATGCCGGTTTGTTGGCAACGTGAATACCCAAGCGGCTGAACTGCCGGGCGATTATTTCGGAAGTTCCACGCATACATGGCAAGAAGTAGAATTTCCGCGTCACAATCTCTCCGTTGGGGGTGGGGTCTTGCGACTGTGTCTGGTGCCTGAGACAGTTCTTTACAAAACTGATCGGATATCCGTTAGAGCGGAATAACCGACATAGGTGAGCAAGTTTTTTGTTCAGGAGATCGCTGTTGTTACAATAACGGTAGGCCCGGTGGAACAGAGTTCGGACGCAGCTTCTATTGTGAGCTGCAGGGTGGTTGCTTCCATAGTTGAGGATAATCTCAGAGTTAGAGTCTTTCCTATGGACGCTTGTTGCCAGGATACACTCGCTCAACTTCTATATTCTCACGTCCAGAAACGGCAAGCTGTCTCCAGTTGCTTCTTCGCGCGTAAACTGTATGGCTGGGAAGACGTCATTCAGTCTCTGATGAAGACGTTCGACTCTGAACTTCTTTATTATGACAAAGGTATCATCAACGTAACGAAGCCATAGTTTGGGCTTGATAGTTTGGAAAACTATCTCTTCTAGTCGCTGCAAAACTAGTTCGGCGAGCAGTCCTGATATTGGTGAGCCCATCCGTGTTCACTTTACTTGTTGGTAGTACCTATTATCAAATTGACAATAGTTCCTAAGGCAAAGATTTAGCAGTTCAATAACATGCTGCGTTGGGATCTCAATAGGATTGTTCTGTAGGCGTTGGGTTACGCATTCAATCGTCAACTCGTGTTATATGGGAGAAAACAAGGCAACGACGTCAAAGGACAGGAAGCATTCATTGGTACTTACCCTGCGGAGGAATGCTTGAGAGTTGTTAATTCTGTAGTCCGATTCATAAGTGAGCCAGTACAGACGACTGTATAACCACTTAGCCATATTGTAAGTGGGTGATCCGATAATTGGCACTATAATCCTCAGGGGGACATCCACTTTGTGCACTTTCGGGAGGCCATACGCGTGTGCGATGTGGGGATCACTGAGGGTCAGCAACTTGGAGTCATCTGGACTGATAACTTTCAAACGAACGAGCTCATTAACCTTCTTTTTCATGGCTGCGGTTTGCTTTTTAGTCGGATTTTCAGCAAGAGGAGTATAGGCCTCCATGTCACTGAAGATTTCATTCGCCTTGTTAACGTATTCAAGTTTGTCCATGATGACAGTAGCGCCACCCTTGTCTGCGGGAACAACGACAATACTGTGATCCGACTTCAATGATCATAATGCCTGCGCTTCTTCGGCCGGTAGATTTTTTTGGTATCTTTTTTGCCGGAGAATACCGGTGGCGCAGCTTCGTATGTTCGCGCGCATGTCTTCCGGAATGTTGGAGGCCAGTAGAATGGACTCAAGCCCAGCTAGGAAGTCGGTAGGTGTGGCATCCGCATGATTAAATCCTATTCCCTTTGATAGGAGGGTGATTTCCGCAGGTGAGAGACTCCTTTTCGATAGCTTGACAAATCTCGTGGTCAAATTTCCTTGGTTCGAAGGACGGAGAAGTGATTGCAGTTTCTCCTGGAGATCAAGTCTCTTCTTCAATCTGGCATCCTTGGTAGTGGCTTTTATCCTTTGCTGCACATCCTCGAATACGTGCTCAGGTAGCACTGAAGCGCACTGATTTTCTAGGTCAGTAATTTTTGCTTCGAATTTGTGGAGACGATTGTGAACGTCCGATATTACAGCACTCAAAACACGCCATCCGTATTTGCACGCAAGAAATCTCCCGGTCACATTCGGCAACGTCGGTTTGAAACGAAGAGACTTCGGTAACACACCGTGATCGCGACAGCGGTGGAGAAAAGTCAGTTGTTCGCAAGCCATCGCATGTCTCTGTGTGAATTTCTCAGGCACCAGACACAGTCGCAAGACCCCACCCCCAACGGAGAGATTGTGACGCGGAAATTCTACTTCTTGCCATGTATGCGTGGAACTTCCGAAATAATCGCCCGGCAGTTCAGCCGCTTGGGTATTCACGTTGCCAACAAACCGGCATCTTCACTACGCGCAGCACTATCTCGAGTGAAGGATCCCATCCCCAAAGAGCAACAAACGAATGTAATTTATCGCATTCCGTGTGCTTATTGCTTTTGCGTGTATGTTGGCCATACAGGTCGATGCCTGGGCACCCATATCAACGAACACAAACTAGCTATCCGTCGGCGAGACCCCCTGTCCCTCGTCTTTGCCCATGCACTCGAGTACGACCACCGATTCAATTGGGATGGCACTGAGGTCGTCGCCATGGCTAACACAAAGCGAGCGAGGGAATTTCTCGAGGCTTGGTACTCCGATGCGGGTAGCTTTAACCGCCACGTTGACTTAAATGCCCATTACGAGGGTCTACGTTCACGAATGACTGCCGCCTGCCCTAATCACGCATCAAAGACCGCGAATACAGCCGCCCGCATTCCGACTGATTCACCACCCGCCCTCCGCCTCCAGCACGGTGTGCCGTAATTGTTCCGCCTCCTCTCCCTTCCCCGCCCCTCACTCAGTGACCAAACATGACCTCGGGAGCCCACCCCCCCCTCACACGTCAGTGGTCTGTTCTGTCCTATCACACTAACTGGTCTACTGTGACAACTTAACTTTCTCCCTCGTTTTCATTTCGTCTGACGACGGGTTGGTGTCACCAGCTCGAAAATTCACGTGTACAACTCGACTTTTCCGAAGAAACTCTTCTATTTTTCATACATATAAATACCCGATCTGCAGCGACAGAGAATGCCAAGTGACGAGGCACTGATGAACTTCGGTTCGATGAAGTGCTTATGACCCATCTGGTAGACCCCAGTGGTGGACCAGCTGCGCCAGTTGCGTCTGTGCGCATGTTTGTGATTCCGCTCCCGCTGGTGGTCAGGGTTATGGTTGGCTGAATGAAGGCAAACAAGCCCGACACAGTACTGTATTAATCTACCCGCATTCTCTGTCGTCCATCCCTGCTGATATATATATATATATATATATATATATATATATCAAGTGATCCACACTTGGGGTTGGGTAAGACTGGCTGATGACGGCTAATAAGCCAGAAATGGCCATTCCGGTCTCCCCTGTCTTTGTCGGTATCATCTCATATATATATATATATGTGTGGGTATGGGTGTGTGTGTGTGTGCCCCCCAAACTGACCACGTGTTAGATGACCTGGACCAACGCAGGGGCCATGTCGGATTCTGGCAGGTGTTATCTATGCGCAATAACAAATGCCAACAATCAACGGGTGCGCTGGCAATCCCTGTTGTCGGCAATCGTCGCACAACTGGTCCACTGCCACCACCCCAGTATTTTGTGGTCAAAATCCTGGTCATTGTTGTGTGAACCAGGGGGTGCGGAGTGGAGCGCCAAGGCGAGTATCCGTCCGAGCCATCCACCTGCGGCCTCCCTCGTCTCCGGTCTTCTTGACTCTATTTTGACACCGAACTCAGGCGGTGGACGAGAAGAGAGTGTAGGCGGATGCAGCGCAAGTCTACTGACACTATTAACCCCTGCGGAAGTCACCGTCCCTGCTCCCACCGCTGCTGTTGTGGGGCACACGGTGGACATCATCGAAATCGATGGCCGCACTGTCGTGTGTGTGTGTGTGTGGAAAACAATCCGAGGAGCAGCCGACCGGGGCGGAGGACAGCCATTGTGGCCCGGGAACTGGCGCGATACAAGGTGGACTTCGCCGCACTCAGCAAAACTCGATTCTCCGAACAATGTCAACTGGAGGAGGTAGTTGCCAGCTACGCCTTCTTCTGGAATGGTTGCCCTAGGGCAGAGCGGCGAGACGCGGGTGTCGCCTTCGCCATTCCGAACGACGTCTGGGACGATTGCCCTGTTTTCCGCAGGCCATCAGCGATCGCCTGATGAGCCTCGCCTGCCTCTCTGGGGAGGCAAATTCGCCACCATCATCAGTGCCTACGCTGCGCCGATGACCAGCCCCGAGGCCGCAAGAGACAAATTCTACGAGGACCTGCACGCCCTCTTGGCGACTGTGCCGAAGGCGGACAAGTTGATTGTCCTTGGTGACTTCAACCCCCGCATCGGCACAGACCATACTGCCTGGAGAGGAGTGCTGGGACCCCAAGGTCTCCGCGGCTCAAACGACAATGTTCTGCTGCTTCTCCGCACCTGCGCAGAACACCGCCTCATGCTGACGAACACGTTCTTCTGCCTGCCGGAGCGAGAGGAGGTTACCTGGAGACATCCTCGGTCGCGTCAGTGGCACCTGCTGGACTATGTCCTCGTCTGGAGGCGAGATCAGCGGGACGTGCTGGTGACGAAGGCGATCGCGGGTGCTGACGGGTGGACCGACCATCGCCTCGTCATCTCGAAGATGCGTATTCGCCTACAGCCTCGCAGGAGACCACAAGGTAAGCGACCCCCAGGTAAGCAGACTATTGCCGTGTTATCTTTGCCCGCTCACCATCCCCATTTCAGCAATGGGTCAGTTCAACGGCTAGACAACCTTCCCATGGCTGAAGGAGCCGCCGCCGACGCCGCTGCTCCCGAGAGCGCCTCTGTGGAGAACCGCTAGTGTCAACTGCGGCACACAGTCCAGTCGACGGCGCTAACCGTCCTCGGTCGAGCACGCCGTCAACACTAGGACTGGTTCGACGACAACGACGCCGTCATCAACAACCCGCTCGCTGAGAAGAACCGCTTACGCAAAGCCTACGTAGACCACCCCACTGATGACAACAGAGCTGCTTTCTACCGCAGTCGCCACCAGCTTCAGCAACGACTGCGTGAGATGCAGGATGCCTAGACTGCTCGCAAAGCTGAGGAGATCCAAGGGTACGCGGACCGCGTTTGATATTAACTGGATGTTCATAAAACGCCTTCTGTCACTAAAGTATTTGCAAACATTTTCGTCCTGAAAAATGGCGATTTTTGAATGGTAAATCAAGTTATTAGCTCTTCCAAACAGGGCTTTATACCAATATTACACCTGTGAAAGGTGCTTAATGTCTTGTGTCAATATACCTACTCATCTTCGTAATGTCCATTTATCCGTGGTCGTAACTTATTTTCATCTTGGTTAAGCATTCAATAAAGAGCCAAATAACCATAATAATTGTATTAAGTGCCAATTAACAAGCACTACCAGGCAAAGATAACGCACAGATCGGCTAACAGTAAAAAATCTTGATGAGTAAACACAGAGCATGACGTGTTGCATTGTTTGTATTGTTCAGGAGAAAAAAAATGCTGCTCACGAACGACGCCTGTCTAAGAAGGGATGGATAATACCGAACCGGACATTTAAAGTCCCCATTCCTACTCATGAAATTGGGACTGGATCAATCAGAGACGTTGAAGAACCGTTGCACGATGTCGGCGAAAGCAGTTTTTCGTGGTAAGACCGGTCGTGGGGTTCAGAGGCCACGAACACCATCACTACGGTATATTCAGTCGGTGGATTCAGCACCCAAAAGGTGGGGGAGATTTTATAAATGCAAAGGCGAGTAATGGTTCTCTTCTGCGAAGAATAATTTTGTAGAATTTTCACATTCCTGGATAATTTGTTGCAAATTGTAGTTGTGTTCATACCCATACCCCCTTCACCCTACACCCTCCTATGCCCTTCACAAAGTGAGTGAAAGTAACACAATCCGTTAGGGAATCTGTACATAATTGTTGACGTGGTAAGAATCCAGTGTAGAACGAGAAAAATAAGTCAGTCTTCCGTAACTCCTAAAATCAGACAAAGACCAATCGATCAAAACCTAAAACAATACAAGAAAAGGTTAAGTAGCGCAGTTACATTCTTGTTTTTTGTTATCAGAGCACACTGGGGCAAAATCATTCTGTATGTAAGTGTCAGCCCACGAAAGGAGATTTGTAGCGTAAATGTAAACATTTAAATGTAACTCAGCCGAGTGTAAAAAACTATACGCGAACATAAACAACATCAGACTTTATAGAGGAAAATCCGAAAAACGCTGGAAGCAGCTTAGGACGAGGTGCATTCTGGTCAGTGAAGTGTGCAGACGCGCTCTTTACTAGAGTCGGGTATACTAATTAACACACTTGTGGAGATAAACAAAGAAAATAGGGGTGAACTACAAGAAAAGTGCTGCGAGCACGTAAACATTTACCGCACAAACCAGCAGAGGGGTCTGCAGGGGACAGTGACCCTGTCGAACCCCATTTGTGCAATCTGCTGTGCTAAATTTTCGACTTGGTTACGCCGCCTGGGTCCAGGACAGGTAGTGTTTTCCGTCGAACAGCTCTAGAAGGTGCACATAGCGTTTACGCAGCACAGCTTGGAAGCAACTAAATAAAATTCCTCATTGAAATGGTATAGCTGGAAGGCAGTTATCTGTTTTTAAGGCTGTAATTCCACTTCTGCCTATTTCCACAAGCACCTGCTGGTCAAGACGGAGGCAGAAAGGACTCCATCGTGCGCATTTATGCATGATTAGTATTCGGCAGTTTATGAGGAATGCACATCAAGGCGACAGAATCAATACCGTTGGAATGAAAAGGGGACGAAGGGATGGAGGGGTTGGCAGTCTAACATCGAAATAAAGACTCCATATAACAGGAGGCCCTGTGCTGATTTACAGGAAGTCACCGATTTTCGTCTCCTAGATTTAACCCTAACGCTAACCCCCTTTCTGATAGGAAAAGCACGCTTTTTGCTGAAGTGGAGGATCTACAGTGAGTGACCTATCTCATGAAATGTTGGCTGAAATTCTGAAATGCGTGTTCGATTAGGAAGGATTACTTGGTCGTGATTGTGATATTGACTATCTTAAGGCATACTCTAATAACATTTCGGACTCGGCAGGATGTCAGCTTTTAAACGCACTTCTTTTCAGTATACTGTAGATTGCGTCCTCGGTAAAAAATGACTACATAAGTAGCAAGCATTTGTCCCATTAATTTTCGATGGTCTTAGAAATTCAAATATATTTATAGAAACCATGAACAAAAATATGCTTTCTTTTAGTCAAACAATAGAGAATCGCGTCTTCTTTATATATTATGCTTAAGGAAGGAGTATAATTAGGTTTTAAAAAAGTTTCTAATTTTGAGACTTTTTAAGACCGCGAAATGTCAATTCACATAGCATCGTACCTGGCAGTTTACCGCTGCTTCTCGTGAAATGTACAACATGGTCCGCATCCATTGCAAAATTTTATGGACTCTCTATGATATCTCTTTAATGGCATAGAAAAATACCTGATTTTCTTTACGCGGAACGCATGCACCTTGTAGAGTGAAATAACTAAGCCCTAATGCAACGAATGATCAGGCTCCAAATTATTCGGCAATTAGAAGACTTTTTAAAACCTAATTAGAATTCTTTATTAAGTAAAAATTATAAAGAAAATGTAATTCTCTATTGATCGACTGAAAGAAAGCATATTTTTATTTGTGGTTTCTATAAAATATATTTGAATTTGTAAGACCATCGAAAATCAATGGGAAAAATGCATGCTAATTAAGTAGTCATTTTT